GCACACAGAGAGATGAGAATCTCACTCTATCCTGTTGGAAAACTGTGATTTGTAGCCGGCGACTGGGCTTGTTAGCCGGCGGATTTTGCTATATAAAATTCCGTCCCAAGCTGATTTGGGCTTACTACGCGGCTGGGCCTATTAACCGTGGGCTTAATAACGGGCGACTACTGTACGCATTTCCGGAATGGAGAATTTTGACTGCCGAAGACTGTACCGTCTTAGAGAAGGTCCAGAGGCAGGAGACAAAACTGACCAAAGGTCTTAGAACACTATCCTATGAAAACATACTGTCAACCCTCAACGTATTTTCCCCATTTCCTACAGACCACTACAAGGGACTTTCACAGTAACCTTGTGCAGTAGGAATGACCCGGAAGGTTTCTTTGTTCCGAGTAATTTCTTCACTCAGGCCACCACGCTCACTTTGCGTGATCATCCCCTAAAACTCTGCACACGTAAAATAAGAATCGCTGGGCGCAAGTTCTTCTTCGGTGACAGTCTGGTTGCAGTGTGGAATGCTCTGCTTGCTGATGCTGTTCTACCCATTTGTGAGAATTCAGTTAAGTGCAAACTCGACGCGCGTTAGGCTTCTGACTCACCACCAACGTGCTAACCTATACAAGGAGCATTGGAATTACGTGCCCGTAATAGGTGAGTATGCGTTTGTGTCTACCTTTTTGGCTAGCCAACGGCTGCTTGCTTTGCGTATGCAACTATGCAAACCTTTTTGAGTTCTCCTTATGCATTGATGCCTTTTGGTGGCTACTTTGTGACCAACAGGAAGTTAAAAGGCGTTAGCCGTTCTTTCCCTTAAAAAACCTGAAGTGAATTGAAATATATGGCTAACTAGCGCGGAAGCCCGGCTTCGCCTTGGCTTCCTTACTGTTGTTGTCCTTTTATGAAGGAAAAAGGACAAGTTTACTTTGCAGTAAAACCTTTTGAAACAATTAATACGTCCGAGGGATAAGTAAACAGTAATGAAGAACGGTATGGAAAGACGGACAACGGTAATTGTGGCACCGGAGGGAGTGACGTACGTAACCATTGAGGGAAAACGGGGTAGATGTCAGAGGGAACAGAAAGGAGGATATAAGTAAAAGTAATAATCGCATAGACAAAGTTAGGGTAAAAGGGCAAGGGAGGAACAAAAAAGAGCCAAATTTT